AAATAACTTTGTTGTCTTCATCTGCCATGTTCAAATCCTTCTTAACCGAATGCTGGCTTTACACAGGAGCATAGAGAATTGGCAAGGGAAGCTGTAAGAAAATCACTTGTTCTTCTAAAGAATGGAAAATCTGCTGATAAGCCATCGCTTCCTCTTCCCAAGAAAGCAGGGAAGATACTCATTGCAGGAAGCCATGCAGACAACTTGGGCAATCAATGTGGAGGCTGGACAATCACATGGCAGGGCCTTGGTGGCAATGATCTTACAGTTGGTATGCTTTAAGCCTCCATTTGTCTTTTGAATGATCTAACTATCTTACTGTTGGAATTAAATTAAAAATATGGAGAAAAGTTTCTATTTCTTTTAACTCCCTTGAACGCACTTTCTCAGTTTGTTGCAGTGGATTGAATATAGTTAACTAATCAATGCTGCAACAGGTACCACAATCCTCAATGCTGTGAAAAGTGCAGTTGATCCTACAACCCAAGTTGTCTACAACGAGAACCCCGATGCGAACTTTGTGAAGTCCAACAAATTCGACTATGCTGTTGTCGTTGTGGGTGAACCCCCGTACGCTGAAACATTCGGAGATAGCTTGAATCTGACCATCTCAGAACCTGGACCGAGCACCATTGCCAATGTCTGCGGAGCTGTGAAATGTGTTGTTGTCGTCATTTCTGGCCGCCCCGTGGTGATTCAGCCCTATCTCGCTAAAGTTGATGCACTTGTGGCAGCTTGGCTTCCTGGAACTGAAGGACAAGGTGTTACTGACGTTTTATTTGGTGATTATGGATTCACTGGCAAACTTGCACGTACATGGTTTAAGACAGTAGATCAGCTCCCAATGAATGTTGGTGATCAACATTATGACCCTCTATTTCCCTTTGGATTTGGTCTCACTACTAAGCCAACCAAGAGTTACTAATAAACGGGATTGCATGTATCCTCCATTCATGAAATTTTCTTAGCTATTTCATGGTTGACATTTTGTAGATCAACATTTCTTTCCCATGAGAGCTAAACAAAATGTTGTTTCATTAGTTTCATCAATTTTTCTGGAAACCACAGAGCGACTGCTCTGTACACCAGTTATTTGTTGAACAACTAAAGTTTAAGTTATTATTTATTCCAAAAATCATCCAAATCGAGAATTGTTTAGCTATTTGAGTATTCGCATTTTTCGTTTCAGTTCTATACAAGGAGCTCCGCCTTTTTGCAACTTTTTGATAACTATTTTTCGGGTGCACGGATTGTTGGAGTATAAATAGAAAACTGAGGCTTTCCTTAGTCCCACATTGGTTGAGCAGAAGAACTTAACACACGAGTTTTAGTCCCTTTCTATTACTAAAATGGATTGGGCTTGGGTTGGTTGCAATTGGGCTCATGGCTTGGACTGATTGCTCAAAAGGTGTTCAACGACAGGAAGATTGAGGAGCACTTTGATAGAAGAATTTGGGTTTCTCTTTCTCAAAATTTTAGTGGAGATCAAATCATGAGGAGTATGTTAAGAAACTTGGGAGATGCGAGCGTAGGAGACGATAAGGGTGAATTACTAAAGAAAATAAATGAATATCTTTTAGGCAAGAGGTTTTTGATTGTGATGGACGATGTGTGGAGCTTGGATGTAACTTGGTGGCTCAGAATTTGTGAAGCGTTGCCAAAGGGAAATGGAAGCAGCAAATGGGAGTGAGGAAAGCAAGATCACATTGGCCCAAATGCCTCAACAAGGATGATAGTTGGCTGCTATTTCAGAAGATTGCATTTGCCGCTGATGGAGGCGATTGTATGCATCCAGAACTGGAAAATGTTGGAAAGGATATTGTTGAGTAGTGCAAGGGCCTTCTTTTAGCAATCAAGGCAGATGGAGGAATAATGCTCTGCAAACCATCACGCTATCGTGAGTGGAGGCGAATTGTTATTCATTTGCGTGACGAATAAACCATCACGCTATAATGGTTTATAACGAATTGTTATCAATCATAAAAAGTTAATGGTTTTAAATGAGTAAGATTTTAGTCCATTCATTCTTTATGGCTTAAAATAATTTACTATTTTAGTTTAGTTAATTTTAGCAACTAAACATTGAATAAATACTGAAGTTATTCATTGAAATGAATCAAGCAATTCTGAAAGCAGAACTCAAAGCAGTTCCTTAGCTTCTTCCTTTTGTTTCTCTAATTGTATTAGAATAATATATTGTGATTGATATGTAATTACTATAATATGTTAATTATAGCCATAAATAGAGTAGTTTACTTGATATAGGCAGACAAATCCAAATCAATCCTTAAGATTGAGGATCACAGCTACGATGACTTTGTAATACTAGTAGTATATATTTTGTTGTACCCTACTATTGTCAATACAACAAAACCCTTCAACCAAACGTTCTCTACAAATTGTCTTAAAATTCCTCCCGTTCCCTTTTTCCTATAAACTAGGAATTCATAGTTCTATCGATTAGAAGTTTTGGATCAATAAATGTGACAAACCATCAAGCCCCTGTCAGAGTGACAACTTTAGCAAGCCCATAAACATCCGAATGAACAAAAGAAAAAGGAACCAAACTTTTATTTGAACTTAATAGAAAAAGAACACGATGGTTCTGGCCAGTTCACAAATGTTACACTTAGAACTAAAAATATCAAAACTGAAGAATAAGGACGGAAATAACTTCAGTAAATAACCAAACGAAGCACGTCAAAGACGCATATGCCATAACCACACTTCGTCTTTTCGTTTCTCAAGTAGTAGAGTTTGTCCCTCTTAGTACCACAACCAATCGTCTTGCTACCGAGGATGTCTTGAAAAACACAATGAGTTGGCCAAAAAGTTACAGTACACTCAAAAGCCATAGTAATTTGGGCAATATACAATATATTATGGCTCAAGGATGGAACAATTAACACAGAATTCAAGTTGAGGGAGTCAGAGAGATATAATGAACCCTCCCTAATCACAGGAGAGGGGTACCATTAGCATTAGACACCACTGATTGAGGAGATGATGTATGAGAGGTAATTTGTCTAGGATCAAATGTCATATGGTCAGTCGCTCCTGAGTCAATAATCCTTGTGTTTTTTTATGGATGACGTGTTTAAAACACAACCTTTGTTACCTGTCGTGGCTATAGAGGCAGATGCATGAGCCGATGTAGCTGGAACATCAGGACTTACAAGATTTGTTTCTCAAGATTTGTTGAGTGATTTGCTCCTATTCTTGCGTGGAGCTTTAAAGTGGTCCCACCAATCAGGGTACCTAATCAACTCATAATAGCCAACATGAGTATGTTTGTCTCATCCCAATGGGTGTACTTTTTCACCAAGAGAGATCCCGAGGCCTTATTTTGAGAAGAGCCACCTGTAGAAGTCTGTGACCCCTTTTGACGTTGGCCCACCATGACAAAAGCTTACTGAGCACCAGTCATGGTCATTCTTTGTTGAGAGTCTATAAGAACATAAGCAAAAGTTTGATCAAGGTCTAACTTAGGATCTTTGAGTAGGATTTCCCCTCGAACTTGATCAAACTCAAGGTCAAGGCCTGCAAGAAAAAGGTGAGCGCGAAGATGATCAAATTCTGTCTGGCGCTCAGCAAGGTCGACGGCGCAGTGCAAGCGGATTGAACTCAGATGATCAATTTCTTGAAAGATGCCCTGCAACTGGCTATAGTATTTATGAAGGATGCACCATTTTGTCTGATAGTGAATGCCTATTTGTTCAAATAAAAAAAATATAAGATTCATCGCTACTATCATAGTAGGTCTTCTTAACGACAACCTAGATTTCTTTGATGGTACTTAAAAGGATGAAACGACTCATTAAGTAGGGAGACATGGAGTCGATTAACCACCCCTTGACCCGAATATTCTCAGTACACCATTTGTTATAGGTGGGAGAGATCTCAGGGGATTTCAAAGTGTCACTGGTTAGGTATCCTAATTTTTCGCGGGCAGAATTCACATATCCATGACCTGAGACCATAAGGCATAGTTCTCAATCAATGTGACGTTGATAGGGAGCGGGGAGTTGTCACTCTGAATGGTGATGATTTGAAGGGTGGAGGTGGAAGATACTCTAGTGAGCGGAAGCGGTACATCACCCATTACAGCGGAACGATATAAGATTTAGATAAGAGTGTGTTTATGGATTTTGATTAAAGGATTTGATTTGAGAGTTAAGGAATTTGATTTAGAGTTTGTGTTTGAATTTGAGGATATGATTTGAGGGTTTAGAGATGACCTAAGATCAGCCGCTCTGATACCATGCTAAAATATGAATGTGGTTTGAATATTTTAAGTTAATTGTATTCATCTCCGTAATGATGAATATATAGGAGTTTACAAGTGTGCTTTACAATAAAATAGATACAGTAATTAATTAGGAGAATATCCACTAATTGTACAAAGATTGTCAACTGTATGAAATAAAGGAAATAAATCACATAATTAACTTAGGAAATAAATCTGTTGATTTGTTAGATTAACTTACGTCAACAGAGCAAAGAAGCTAACTGCAAATTTCATGCGCTATTATAGCAAATGCTTTCAGTTATTATTGTTGTGAATAAGCATAAGGGCATGTAATATATGTACATGCTACAAGTTGCATGAACGTCCTTCTTGTTTGGTTTCTATTAATCTACATAGATTTTCATTATGCATTTTGCCACTTGTGCATATTGCAGCTTGTGACGTACAAGCTTGCAATACCATATTCAAGGTCCAAATCCTTGTTTGTAATAGCATGTATTTGTGAGTAGTGGTTGCCTCCACATTTTTTATTTTTTCTTTCAAAGTCTTTGTAAAAGTTTTTTTTTTTAAAAATAAAAATAAAAATTGAAAACTGGGTATGAAAGTTATGAGTAATTGGGTGCTGTCATCAAATTGTGTGGTGTGACTAACAAAGCCCAAGTTAGAAAATTGCACGGTTGGGCCTAGGCCCAGTTATCCAAACACTCGCTTGTTCGAACGATACTCAATGGTGGTTCGCGGTTGAATTGAACCCTCGGATTTGGAAGCTGGGAACGCAGTGGTTGCTTTCTATTTTCTTCTCCAGATCTGTAATTCTCCATTGGTTATTGAAGAACAGTATAATTAACCGTCAGAGTTGAAGAATTTTTGTTTCCCAGGAAACATGGATCCAGATTCAGTGAAATCCACTCTCCAAAATCTAGCCTTTGGAAATGTAATGGCCGCCGCGGCTCGCAATTACCAGAAGGAATTGCTTGCCAATGAAAAGGCACCGGCCACGAGCTCTGTCAACCAAGAAGTCGACCTTGACGAGTTGATGGATGTAAGTTATGAGTTCAATTCAATTCTCTGCCTCTTTCATGCACTTTTCAATTTTCAAAGCAATGATTTTTATGTGCATTTGGTGGTGGGTAGGATCCTGAGCTTGAAAAATTGCATGCGGATCGGATTGCTGCTCTAAAGGTTCGATTTTTTTCATGTTTTGTTTATGTGGGTATGTGGAATTTTTCATGGTTTTGTGCTTATGTTTAGAGGGTTTGGTTTGGAATTTGAATAGAAAGAAGCTGAGAAGAGAGAAGCTTTAAAGAGGAAAGGGCATGGAGAATACAGGGAGATAACTGAAGGGGATTTTTTAGGTGAAGTTACTGGGACTGAGAAAGCCATCTGCCACTTCTATCACCAGGAGTTCTATAGATGCAAGTAAGCCTCTTACTCTAGAATCTTTAATACTCATAAACATGGATGAGGGATTATGTTTCAAAATGAATACCTGGTTCTTTTTGAATGGAAATTAGTAAGAGTATTGGTCCATGGTGTCCTTTGCTGATTTCTGAAAAGGTATCAATGCATCTATTTATCCAAGGGATTTTTTCAGGTTTTTCTAGTCCATCCTGTGATTTTATCTTTGCGTACGCTTTTGTTTTTTAACATATTGCATAATTATTTATAAATTTCTGTGTGATTAAATATAATTAGACCAAATTTTTCCTACACTTTTTAGGATAATGGATAAGCATTTGAAGACCCTTGCTTCAAAGCATGTTGATACCAAGTTCATCAAGCTGGATGCAGAGGTCAGTATAAACTTCAATATGGTCTTCTGTTCTTATAATTGGTGCAGCTTTTCGTGTTTGCTCGGGTTGATCCCACTTGTTCCAACCTTCCATTTCTGTCATTTAGTTGGAAAGCTTTAGAATGGCGAATTGACCATTTGAAAATGAAATGCAGAATGCGCCCTTCTTCATCACCAAGTTAGGAGTCAAAACTTTGCCTTGTGTCATAATCTTCAGGTCAGGCCATCTCCATCATAACTATTATATCTATATGCATCCCCATTTCCAGTATTTAAGATGCATATCAGCATTTGGTGGTTCTTAAACAAAAAGCCAGGAGAGAAAAGAAAGCTGAAACTGTACTAAGATCACAATCATTTGAACATTCACACTTGACAACGTGTGTATTAACATGCCTCAAGAGCATGTGGTGATGATGTCCATGCTGCTTTCAGCTTACGTTGAGATCTTGCATTAAAAATTCATATTTACGAATTTGAAAAGTTTGCCTTTTCAGAAAAGGAGTTGCTGTGGATAGGTTGGTTGGATTTCAAGATATGGGAGGAAAAGATGATTTCAGCACAAGGGCACTCGAGGTTGTACTAATCAAGAAAGGTAAATGCTTTGTCAAGAGTGTTTTGCAATTTGTAGTTTGTTGTAGAGTTGCTAAACTGCTATTTTAACAGGTATAATTAGTGAGAAGAAAGATGAGGATGATGAAGATGATGGATATCATGAAGGTAGTCGCAGGACAGTGAGATCCTCTGTGAATCTTGATGATTCTGATTCAGACTGAAAAAAGAACAGAAAAAAAGAAGAAAACGATACCTGAGTTTTCAAATGCTTTCTGGTTGCATGCTTGTATACTTCTTGTCACATCTAATGCATGTTACCTTCTGAGTGGATTTTTTTGTTTGTTTCTTTTTTAGGAACAAAATTGCATTGGAAATATATTCTTCCAGTCCTTCATATTGACTAGAAAGTACTTTCTGGTTTTACTTTATTTTTTAATGTTACCCAGAAATTTTATCCGTTGCTAATGCACATCGTTTATGTTATGTGGTTCTCACCAAAATTTGATTTTGAATGAAATGGATTTTTAGATTAAACAATGACTAAAAAGAACAAAAAAGATTATTGGGATTGGATTTCTCTCTCTCTCTCTCTCTCTCTCTCTCAGACAATGACTGCAATGAAATGGGATTATATCGCAAGAACCCCCCGTTTTACTGTAAAAAAAAAAAACGTAGCCGTGAGTCAACCCAAGCTCACCTTGTTTGAGTCAAATTTTTTCACGTTCAACCAACATGCAATTTAGGCTTTTTGGTTTAGGAAATTTTTGGTAAATGTATCCCGAGAAGTTCCACAGAACAAGGAAATAATCAAGCCAAGAAGACCAGAAAAGGTTGCAAATCCACGGTGTGGAATTCAGGAGAATTAAGAAAAGTATCTGATTCTTTTATGGGCTTGTCCAATATAGATCCTTACATTTTCTATTTCCTAGACATATACCCATCACTCTATAAATCTATGTGTAAAACCCAATTTCAAATTTAAATGACCAGTATGATATAAGAGGTCGTAGTATTTCTATGTTTTTACAATCCAATTAAAAACTGTTTCCATATTGATTCCTACATTAATATACAAAATGCAATAATGGCTTAGTTGGGGGCATTTTTGGAATCTGAAAAGTACAATAAATCAGATTTTATGCTTAATTAGGTAACTTACTGAGTTGGATCCTAGTCATGGATTTTTACTTATACAAATTGGGTATTATTTATAGGAACAAAAAGTGAAAGGTTGTAGGTACATCAAATTGAATTTGAAGGGTGTAAGCCAAATTTACTATTATTTTATTGCTGAATAATCAGGAAGAATAACGTTGTACATTTGATAAACGAATTAAAAGAAATAATTTGAATATTTCTATAAAAAAAAATTAGCAATAAGTTTAGAAGAGTTAGTGAAAAAAATAACTATAATAAGAACACGAAAGTAACTAAAGTGAACCACAAAGTGTGGTATATTGTTGGCAAACTGCCATCTCCAATTAGAGAACTGTCTGGTGCCTAACTAGCATGAGTTCGAAACCAATTGGGAGCAGATTGTGGCCAGGGGCAAGCTAAACCATAAGCAGGGATTAGTTCTACCCTTCAAATGTGAAAGAAGAAAACGATACCTGAGTTTTCAAATGCTTTCTGGTTGCATGCTTGTATACTTCTTGTCACATCTAATGCATGTTACCTTCTGAGTGGATTTTTTTGTTTGTTTCTTTTTTAGGAACAAAATTGCATTGGAAATATATTCTTCCAGTCCTTCATATTGACTAGAAAGTACTTTCTGGTTTTACTTTATTTTTTAATGTTACCCAGAAATTTTATCCGTTGCTAATGCACATCGTTTATGTTATGTGGTTCTCACCAAAATTTGATTTTGAATGAAATGGATTTTTAGATTAAACAATGACTAAAAAGAACAAAAAAGATTATTGGAATTGGATTTCTCTCTCTCTCTCTCTCTCTCTCTCTCAGACAATGACTGCAATGAAATGGGATTATATCGCAAGAACCCCCCGTTTTACTGTAAAAAAAAAAAACGTAGCCGTGAGTCAACCCAAGCTCACCTTGTTTGAGTCAAATTTTTTCACGTTCAACCAACATGCAATTTAGGCTTTTTGGTTTAGGAAATTTTTGGTAAATGTATCCCGAGAAGTTCCACAGAACAAGGAAATAATCAAGCCAAGAAGACCAGAAAAGGTTGCAAATCCACGGTGTGGAATTCAGGAGAATTAAGAAAAGTATCTGATTCTTTTATGGGCTTGTCCAATATAGATCCTTACATTTTCTATTTCCTAGACATATACCCATCACTCTATAAATCTATGTGTAAAACCCAATTTCAAATTTAAATGACCAGTATGATATAAGAGGTCGTAGTATTTCTATGTTTTTACAATCCAATTAAAAACTGTTTCCATATTGATTCCTACATTAATATACAAAATGCAATAATGGCTTAGTTGGGGGCATTTTTGGAATCTGAAAAGTACAATAAATCAGATTTTATGCTTAATTAGGTAACTTACTGAGTTGGATCCTAGTCATGGATTTTTACTTATACAAATTGGGTATTATTTATAGGAACAAAAAGTGAAAGGTTGTAGGTACATCAAATTGAATTTGAAGGGTGTAAGCCAAATTTACTATTATTTTATTGCTGAATAATCAGGAAGAATAACGTTGTACATTTGATAAACGAATTAAAAGAAATAATTTGAATATTTCTATAAAAAAAAATTAGCAATAAGTTTAGAAGAGTTAGTGAAAAAAATAACTATAATAAGAACACGAAAGTAACTAAAGTGAACCACAAAGTGTGGTATATTGTTGGCAAACTGCCATCTCCAATTAGAGAACTGTCTGGTGCCTAACTAGCATGAGTTCGAAACCAATTGGGAGCAGATTGTGGCCAGGGGCAAGCTAAACCATAAGCAGGGATTAGTTCTACCCTTCAAATGTGGGGACACCTCGTGGTGTTTACCCCAAAAAAAAAAAAAAAAAAGTAACTAAAGTGATTGCAACATCAACAAATTTCGTAATTGGCAATGATTATTTATACATATAATTAATTAAATAATTAATTTAATCAAGAGTTGGGCTTGTTCTTGGGCTCTGTTGATTAAATTCAAATTTCCTTTTTGAAATAAGGAAATCTTTAAATACCCAATCCAAATACAGAAGTAGACACTGAATTAATCAGCCACAAAATCACTCACTGTTAGAGAGAGGAAGAACAAATACATCGCCAGTCTAACACTTCAAGCCCAATCCTAACCAGTTCAGTCCGACCCGCCAATCAGGGCGTAATGGTTTGCTTATGCATCGAGATTTCAATGATAATTTGAAAAAAAGCTGAAAACCATATATAATATAAGAAAAGAACATATCATATGTACTGTAAGCTGAACGAAAAAAAGTAAGAACAAGTCATAACATAATAAGGAAATCATTGCAGGAAAGAAGACGTTTATGTTCTCAATACAATGCTACCTAAAGTACCAATAGAATTATAGCAATTCCAAAGCATGAAGGATTTAGATTCCTGGTAATAAAAATTAAAAATCCCTTATTTTATTTTTATTTTTTTTTGTGTGTGGATAACGAAGATATTAAATTTGTAATTAAATTTTAGATGATTTGAATCACACTGTGAGTTGGCTCCAACATCACGTCCCCTTTATTTTCCTAAAAAGGATTCGTTATTAACACAATTATTGTCTGATAATATAGTTGATAATGAACACGTGGAAGTATTGTTTTCAGCATTGTCTATGTATTTGCACAATTATTTTCCGCAACATATCCTAATGAATGGATAGATCTTCTTAAACCAAATTCGATTGAAAGATGGATGATTATTACTATTATAGTTTGGTATGATTTCCTAAAACTGCAAGACAAACTTAGAAACTAATATTTTTCCACAGAATCTCTATACTAATTATATTAGATAAGACTTTAGTCTTTGCTTCTTCTTATCCTATGAAATCTCTAATTCTATCCGGATATTCAAGTAAAACCCAATTTAAATACTCACCTACATTATAAATACACACTCAATTCTTCAGCCAATCTTACATTGGTATCTCCTTCTCTATTGATCAAGGTCTGCATTCTCGGAATTCGCCTCGTTTTTGTGTTTTTTTTTTCCTCTTGTTTAGGGTTTTTATTTTGACTATAGCACGAGCAATGTAGCTAATATTATGATTTTTGGTGCAGGTTTGACTAGATTTCAATGATGGTAAGACCAAGTTCATCAGGCCTCTTAGTAGGACTTCTGTGGTTATGCTGCTGGGGAGCCATGGCACAAACAGGAGCAGAATACATGGCATACAAGGACCCTAAGCAGCCACTAAATAGGCGAATTAAGGACTTGATGGGTCGAATGACGCTTGAAGAAAAGATCGGGCAGATGATGCAGCTGGACCGTGCCAATGTCACAGCTGAGATCATGAGGGACTTCTCATTAGGCAGTGTTTTGAGTGGCGGAGGGAGTGTGCCACGTGAGCAGGCTAGTCCACAGGATTGGATCAACATGTTCAATGAGTTTCAAAAGGGTGCACTTTCAAGCCGGCTTGGGATCCCTATGATTTATGGCATTGATGCTGTTCATGGGCACAACAATGTTTATAAGGCCACTATTTTCCCACATAATGTTGGTCTTGGAGCCACCAGGTAATAAGTGATTCTCTGAAAGATATGGCTAAACAGGATTAAAAACAGATAATTCATGAGTAGATATAACTGAAGTTGTTATAAATTAGGATTAAAAACACAGAATTCTATCTTTATATCTATATTAATGTTGTTTAATTTGTATGAAAATTTTCCAATATCTTCCAGGGATCCGGAGCTTGTGAAGAAGATTGGTGCTGCAACTGCACTTGAAGTTAGAGCTACTGGCATTAATTATGCGTTTGCACCATGCATTGCGGTATGCTATATATATATCCAATAATTGAACAGTTTTTGCGTGCGATATATATTCTTTTAATACTGATCACTGATTAATAATCTTAAACCTTAATGTACAATAGGTCTGCAGAGATCCGAGATGGGGTAGGTGCTACGAGAGCTACAGCGAAGATCCTGCAGTCGTAATACAAATGACTGATGTCATACTCGGATTGCAAGGCGAAATTCCGGCTGGTTCCCGGAAGGGCGTTCCTTATGTGGGTGGAAAGTAAGTGCTTAGAAAAATAATGTCGTGATGATTTCGAAGATGTTTTTAGTCATCGTGTTCGATTACAAAAAAATTCAACTGATCCTAGTACTTCCAGTTTCTCTTTTCTTATCTCAAAAACCTTTTATTTGTGATATAGGGATAAGGTAGCGGCCTGTGCAAAGCACTTTGTTGGAGATGGTGGCACAACCAG